GTTTACCAACACTGTATGTAACATTAGTACTTGTAATTTGTATATGAAGAGAGACAACAGTTAAATTCATATGAAACTCAGTGAACATATAACATTTCAATTTGCATAATTGAGTTATAAAGAATACTATAATTAAATGAAATCGAAGGGTATTAAAGCGGGAGTGTCGTCACCTGCGCACGTGCGGGAATTGAGTCCCAAGCAACAATAACAACACATGCTGAAAACGCAAAGGCTCATGGGCAGACGCTTGTTTGTAAACAATGAAACGCTATGGCCATCTGACGCATGCGCAGGTGACGACTCTCTCACTTTAATTACTGATTTGAAGTATATCTTTTTTTTTTTCAGGGGAATCAATTTTGTTCTCAGTGCACTTGTATTTAATATTGTTCCAACACTATTTGAAGTATCATTGGTTAGTGGTCTGTTGGTAAGTAATCTCTACTTCATATGTGCTGCATAGTAGACCTTGAATGCAAATGCAAACAAAATCTTGTTCAGAGAGACGGAACCACGCAACTTGATTTTGGCCATCAAATAGTGTTCAATTCTATCATGATTGCGTCCACTATTCCCCTACTCTATGTAGCTCATGGATTTTGTAACCGTGGATACGATGACAGAAGATAATGGAACAATATTTGCATGCCAAAAGCAGATAGCTTGACTCCCTCGCAGTAGATCACAAAGATCACAGTAGTAATTTGCATCTAAGTTCTATATATGGTGGAAGTTGTAATAAAATTTGAACCTGACCTACATCTAGGTATTACTGACACTCCACATTTATAAACATGATGATTGAAATCAAATTGGTCAGCAAAAATACTAGCTAATATATGGATATACTAAAGAAATTTACTGGTGCTTTGTATTCCCCACAATTTCTGAAAAATTCAGACCATCAAATATGCATGATAGTGGCAAATACCTGAATAAAGCATAAGGAATGTTCTTTAATGTGTGAACACTATCGATTTATTTTGAGGTCAATCCCAAAATATTGGCGTAGATCGATTCCACAGCAAATAATTAAAATAATTACAAGTACTGTAAAATCTGTATTAGAAACCGCGGCTTCTATTAAAATGGTACAATCCAATAGAGGGTGTGCGGCTTCTATTAGAGCATCTACACATATGAGAAATGATGATTTTTTGGTTCCCAATTGTTTAAAAAGAATGGGTGCGACTTCTATTAGGGATGCGGCTTCTAATACAGATTTTACGGTACACTTTGTAAGGTAGGATGCAAATACCCTGGTCAATGCGACCCGTTTATTGACTCTGTAACATAGTATAGTATAGTATATTTTATTTGACACAAAATAATGCATGGAAAATACATCATCTATGGCCAATATACATTGCTTTATAAACAAACAAATAACAAATAAATAAACACTGTAAAAATATACAATAAA